CACGGCTGCCCCATGAAGCACAGCGCGTCCGCGATGGCCAGCGCGGCCACCTTCGGCAACGGGGGCCGCTGCGAGCCAGGAACACTCTTCTTCCAAGACGCACATGCCCTCGATGACCCTGGCAATCGAGCCTTGAGAGACTTGTGGAACACTGGCGCAGAGTTGGCCAGGGCGGCCAGCAGCTTGCTGCCCTTGTCGGGGCGGTGCCCGCCCGGGTACAGCCTGTCCATGTACGACGTCACGGCCAAATCCAGACCCTCTGGCGTGGGCCCGTCGAGGCTCGAGTGGGTGCAATGGTCCACGTGACCCTCCAGCGGCGCCCGGTAGGCAACGTCCGTGTCCGCCAAAACCGCCACGCTCTCTGGGAGGGTCAGGCGGCCGCTCGGCGGGCGAGCAGCATGCGCCAGGCTCGCCGCTGCCGCGCGGGCCGCCCGGGCCGGGGGCCGCGCCGCAGGCCGCTACATGAGACCCTGCGGGCGTCAGGGCAGCGTCCTCGCCAGCGCGTCCAGCCCCGGCGCCGTCCGAGACGGCGCCGCAAGACCCCGCCCCAGCCCGCGAGCTCAAAGGAGCCCTTCGGGCCGCGGGGCTGCTGCGGTAGAGGCCGACGAACCAGCCGCCCTGTCCCTGCGAAGGCTCGTCAGCGGGGTTGAACTCGCCGGGAAGCCACCGCGCGTGGAGCTTGGTGCCCGTCGCCAAAGACAAAGCGGCAACCTTGCGAAGGGCCCAGTGGAAGTGCTCTGAGCTGCCCTTGGTGGCCCCAAGGGCCAGAAGCAGGTTGTCGACTAACGCCGAGGGCCGGGGCCCACGGGCCGCCCGAGACTGGAGTAAATGCTTGCAAGCCAGAACCAGACCGCCCCCCTCGAGTTCCAGGACGTTGCCAGGGACGACGACCTTAGATGCGAGCGCGACATTCCACTCCCCCTTGTCCAGGATAGCCTTAGGAACCTCATCGAATATAGCCGATGTAACTGTGAGCCCACTGTCGGAACCATGGAGGCCTGCAAGAAGATCCCAATCACCCGCTGATACACAGAAGGACGACAAGGAAGGCGGAGGAGACGAAGTAGAAAGGGAGTCGGCACCGAGGGCGCTACCCCGAGCCTGCGCACCGCCTTCAGATTTATTTGCACCGCCAGCGTTTACTGCGACGGCCAATTTTTCCCACGACCTCGGGCTTCAGCGAGCGGGTGCAGACCGCGACTCCGCAGGGGCAGGCGTCCGATCAGGCGACCACTGGATGCCGCTTCGCGGCGAGAGTACAGTGCAGAAGGGGCAGCAGACTTCGCGCCTGCCGCAGCTCACGTAGCACGGAAGGCCAGGTGTCCACCACCTGAATAGGGTTGGCAACGATAGAAGCGTAACAGGCATCCAGGGCCACCAGGGCCCCCCTCTCCAGAAGACGCGCCCAATGGCCGACCAGGACCTGCAACGTAGCCCCGCTGCAACACCGACGACAGATCACCCCCTCAATCCCCAGACGAAGCCCCCATATTCCGCTTTTTGCCACTCAAACGCGCGCCCTCAGACAGCTCCTCGCCGAGGAAGCGCAGTCAGTGGACCCCTCCTCCAGTTCATGGACCACCAACCCCTTGCGTTTTAAAACAATAGTAATTGATTGCATAGACGCAGTAGTCTTATCACGATCGTGACCAACCGTAAAGAAATCGTCAACATGCGCGGCGCTGCCCACCTGCTGAGGGCATGAAAGGTGCACGCCTGCTCTGCCGTCCTCAATCAGAAAGTCCGCAGAGAGCCCCGCTCCCGCGATACTGTTTCGGAGAACCCCTTGGCACGGGTGCGTGGCCCAGGACCATCCCATTGGGGGAGCGGTGAGGCACGGCAAGAGAGGCGTGCCCAGAGGGGCGGCAACTCCGTCCAGGAAAAAGACTTGCACGAGCGTGGAGTCAATCACTGGGAGCGAGAAATACTGCCCCATCCCCGGCGGCAGCCCCAGTCGGTAAAAGGAGCAGTCTAGATCCCCAGACGCGACGTGCACGGGCCTCTCCGAAGTCTCCACAGATGAGAACGCACTCGAGGTAGGCAGCCGGGTGCTCGGAGGTGTCTTGAAATACGCGTTGACAAACCTTGTGTCGAAAATAATCCGCAGTCGACCGTCTCTCGGCTACGAAGAACATCCCAACTTCTCCTCGCGCCCGGCTGCCGCCTCCCGCCTAAGCATTCCACGCTGAAGCAGGCGCAGAAGAAACTTTGCATAGGTGGAGGGCCGCTGCTTCAACGCACTATCAACAAAGACACCGCGTGGGCAGGCCTCTCGCTGTAAGGACGCGGCCTCCTGCTCAGTTCTCAGCAAATTTTCGCGCCAACCGCCGAGCCGCTTGCGATCGGCTGAGCCCAGGGCGTCCGCCGAAGGAATCGGCTTCGCCCCGAGCTCGGGCCAGGGACCTAAGTCCTTTACAAACGGGCGGCGTGGGCCTTGGTCAGAGGAGTAGACCGAGGACCGGGCGAGAAGCTCGCTGAGGGCTTCCTTGCCAAGGAAAAGATCACACGGAGCGGGCCCGACCTGGGTGCAACGACGAGCGATGCGCTCAAGAGCCTGGGCCTGGCGAGCGCTGGCAGGAGCAGAGGGGGGGGGAGAAATAAACCAGCCTGCTCGAGATCGGGCGAACGATCGACAAAAGCCCCGGGCGGGCCAGGCAAAATCGTCGAACATCCATAGAGGTCATTCATAGCTCTGGATAGCATCACCCGTCCAATCCAAAGCGGCCTGGGCCATGCGCCGGCGCCGGACCGCGCTGCGGACTTCTCGCCCAATAGGCGCAGCACGCGGGCGGCGAAACACAGAGGGAAAAAGGAAAATGTCACGCTGCCTCCAGCGCTCTTGGGGGGACTTCTCGGCTGCGGCGGCGCCCCCTGGGCCGCCGAGGACACTGCTAGCCATTGGGGGCACCGGAGCCAGGGGCGTCGTTCGGCTTTGTCGGCTTGCCCTTCGGTCGAGCCAACTGCCGCTCCTCCCTGGCTTTCCGGCGCTCTTTCATCACCGCGCATTCCTTTCCCAGCTCTGTGCTGATCCACTCCTACAAGAGTGGGTGCACGCAACAGTTCCCACGCACCATGTCGGTGCCGTAGTACAGGTGGCTGTCGCTCGTATCCGTGTTGTGGTTGCCAGCCAGCCTATCCCTGTACCTCTCCTCGATGAGCTGGGGACTGCGCGCTGCCAATTCTGCTGCCGCGACATCTGGAACGTTGAACTGGTCGTAGCAGGCGAGGGTCTCGATGAGGCGGCAGGCATGCTCGTGATCGGCAACTCCCTGGTCGCTAGCACCCAGCCGGCAGTCCGCCCGCCAGCGGCTGTGCCGCGCCAGTGGGGACCCCCCGTTGGCGAGCATGAAACGGCACACCCACCATGCTGTCCTCGGGCCCCTGATGGGCCAATCAAAATATGTACTCTGCGTCATGCCGTTGACCGCGTCCGTGAAATCCTTGTACCGCTGTCCCAGAGCATCGGTGGTGATGCCGAGGACCCGCGCGTCGCCAGGCGATCCAGCGGGCAACCCGGTGGCGCCTCCAAACCCCGGCAGAGCCGGGGGGGCCGCGGCAGCCGCCACAGGCGGAGCAGCCCCAGCCGCGGCCACAGGGGCGGGGGACGCCAAAGCTCCCGCGACCGCAGCTCCGGCGGCGGGGGCGACTGCCGCCGGCGCGCCCAGGGCGCCGCCGCCGGGCACCAGGGCGCCAGCCGTGCCAGCAGGGCCTGCGCCAGGGCCGCCGAGCGCAGCCACCAGGCCCGCCAGGCCACCGCCCGCAGGCGCACCGCAACGTGGGCCGCCCCAGAGGCGGCGGGGAGGCCAGCAGCCGCCGCGCCGCCAGATGCGCCAAGGTTGGGCGCCAGCGGCGTCCCCGGCACTGGGAACCCCAGCCTGCCAGCCGCGGCGTCCCGAAGGGCGCCAGCGGCCGCTGGCAGCGGAGGGTGGCGAAAGTGGTAGGTGCGGTCTCCAGACGCGAAGCCCGCAGCACCGCCAATCGCACCGCCGGGGAGGCGGCCCCACAGCAACACGTCCGCACCAGGAGCAACATCCTCCTCATAGGAATCGCCTGGAGTCAGCATCGTGATCAGCGAGGCGCCCCCAGGCGGTAGGTACACGACCATCCGCTCGTGCCAGATGCGGGGGCCCGCGACGTTGTACAGGAGAATCAGAAAGTCACCTTCTTGAAAGCCATGGCTGCCGATCAGCTGATGGGGCGCCCCCACCGCCGCCGCTGCTGCCATCCATGCTTAGCGCCGCCGCAGCACCGCCAGCTGCTGCCTCGCCTCACGGGTCAGCGGGTCCTCGTCCGCGAGCGGGGTGACAGCAGGCACCAGCTCCGCGGTGGTCGGGTCCCCCCCGGCGGGGCAGGACAGGCGCGGCCGCAACCGCAGCACGCCTGCGAGCCCCGGGCACCAGATGGCCCCGCCCAGCAGGCCCATGAGGCAGGACACGATGGCCACCAGCAGGCGGGTGAGCAGGAGGAAGAGGATCGGCAGCTGCCGCGGCACGCTGGCCACGCTGCCCGGGCCACAGTCCAGCAGCTGAGGCGCGCAGCTGCAGGGCGGGCAGGGAGCAGTGGAGGCGCGCAGCACCAGCCCCGTGGACAGCCCCTGGGCCAGCTCCGCGACGGCCGATCGGGCCGCTGCCTGCATGCGCTGGTCCTCCCCCGGGGTCTGAGGGGTGCCAGCTTGAGCAAGAGCGGCGGCGGACAGTCGCCGTGCGGCCGCGCTCTCCTCTCGCTCCTTGCTTCCCGTCCTGAATACCTGCACAGGAGGAGGGAAGAGGAGGAGGCCGAGAAGGCAGGCAGGCAGGCACTTTCTTGGACCGTCGACTCCCCGCAGGGGTATCGGTGCCTGGCTTCTCCAGGCAGGCAAGCGCGTTCCGCTGCTCGCAAAGCTAAAGGGGCCCAGGGACACACACACACACACACACACACACACACACACGCACGCACGCACGCACGCACGCACGCACGCACGCACGCACACGCACGCACGCACGCAAAAACGCACGCAC